TGGAAATAGGGGGCGGTGGCAGCCGGGGCGCCGCTGGCCTTGCTAAGGGCAGCCCGGCCAAGAAAAGCGAGAGCAGAGGAAGGCTCTGCCTCAGGGCTGCTTGTGACTCCTCGTTTTGGCCTCTGCCCGTTGGTTTTAGGAGGTGGGGGGGTAAACAGGTGCGGTGTGCGCTCCCCCACGGGCAGCAGGGACATCGCACCTCCCCAGCTCTGGCGAGGAGTTTGGTCACGAATCACCGTAATGGAAATGTTGTAAGATCCTGTAACAAATACTTGAACCAAAGTGCCCTGTGCTTTGATAAATTAATTGCATAATTATAGAGTTGTTCCGTTAGTATCTTGGCCTGGTGCCTGTGGGAGTGTATTTCGGTAACTTTTCAATTTAATTTCGGTTCTGCCCCAAAGCAACGAGGAAACTTGTGAAATCTCAGGCTTCCCAAGACAGGATTTCCCAAAGCCCCCTACACTATGCTATGGGAAAAGGGGACATGACAACATAGACTGATCCTAGAGCTTTGTCAAGATGTAAAGACTCTCGGGCACACCACTGATCATTAACGGCACCTAGGTGAAGATGTAGCTACCCCAGCTGTACACCCTGCCTCATAACACTGCTGTACACAGAATGAGTTGTAAGTGTACCGCGATGCTGTTTCCTCTCTCTGCCTTGCCAGTCCATTCATCCAGGAAGGTCCATTTTGTCCCATCTAATTACCGTGCTGGTTTGGAGAAGGTGAGCTGTATCCCTGTATTTCCTTAACCTGAAAAATGGACTAATGAACCTGTCTATACCAGAACAGCTTTTGAGGCCAAAGCACTGCTCGTATAGATAATTTTAAAGGTTTCCTTCTAGGAGACATGTAAAATACAGGTTCTGGGTTTGGGGTTTTTTGTTCTGAGTGGATATATGCTCAAAATATCCTTCCATACCAGCATAGCTATGACTGGATGTAGCATCAGCTGGCATAAATCCCTGGGTAGAAACTCAACTTTGGCAGGTAGATTTGATGAGAAAATAAAAGGCGATTGAGGTTTCTTTCGCTTTTAAACTTGCTGTTTGGCAAACGAGCCCTTCTGAACATAGGAAACTGCTTAGCAACTAAGTCTGGAGGGAATCAGGAGTTTGCTTGACATGCTTCAGTCTTCTTGTTACAAGCGTCAAGGTAGGCGAGCAGAGTCAGAGCTGCTTGTATGTGCACACCAAAACCATCTAGCTTCCTCCTGCCCGCAGACTCGTGTGATGAGCTCCTGCAGAGCAGAGGCAGAGTGCACAGGAGTCAGGCTCCAGAGCTTAGCGTTAGCGTCCAAACAGTTACAGCGTCTGCACTTCTCCTCACATACACTGGACATAGGCGTTCCTTTCCCACTCCTCCAGGACCGCCGGTCACGCTGCAACACACCAGTCTAATGAGCAAAGCACGAAAATCCAGCAAGATGATTAAGAGCAAATCAAAAAGAAGAAAAACCAAAAAAGCAACATGAGTAATCAAAGTGAAATGTGGCCCCAGCTCAAAGTAAAACACACAAAGAGCAAGGCTCTCCCAGGGGCAAATCCCAGAGCCGGTTGGCTGCCAGCTTGGATTGCGGAGTCCTCCAGGGCTGGGGGTTTCAGCCATCGTTGCCTCTGAGGATACCAACGTGGTCTGCGAAGGCTCTGTGTTGCAATGCAGAGAATGCCTTCGTCTGGTAAATCAGTGATAGGAGAGCAGCGATTCCTGAGCACCACGCAGGGGGCCTAGCAGCTGACTGCATGGTTTCAGTCGTAAGTCATAATATTGCCTCTCTTCTTTCCTCCCTTGCCTGACTCTCCCCTTCCCCTGCCTCCCCTCAGACATTTAAAAGGCTCCTCGTGTATTAGTTACAGAAATTAAAAAATGCAACTTTAGGAAATTCCTGTGCCTTGT